AGCCACCGCACTTGGCCACATTTCAATTTTTAATAGAGTCAAAATGCTTTTTTGGAAGAAAGTGTTGCATTTACTAAAATCTGGCTATTCTCTTTTTGCAGTTTTTGTCTGGGGCTGGGTTTGAACCCACCACCTCCGGTATATGGGGCCAGTGCCCTATTCCTTTGAGCCACAGGTGCTGCCCAAATCTGGCTATTTTCTTCCAGTGTAGGTCTTTAGAGATGTTTTTATAACTTTCATGATTTCAGGCCTTAACTTATAAACCTAACATCTAGGTGAATACTTACCCTTTGAAAGCAATGTATGTTAGCCAAAGCAACCCTTTAGCTAAAATCCTTTTTTTTTCTATTTTTTAATTTCAGGTTAATGTGAGGTTACAAACAACTATGTTTGTTATAATATTTGCATTTTTAGGTAGAGTCCCTCTGTGTCCTGCAAAAAGCCTTGAATGCTTTTTAAAGAATATATTTGCTTTTCACCAGAAAGGGAAAATAACTAGGATGGTAGCGTGGCTCATATTTTTCACTATAAAGAAATTAGTCTAGAAAGTTTCACAGTCCCTAAAGAATTCAATAATTTCCAAGTTTCACAGTTCTCGTGGAATTAAATTTCACATACTCTTTTAATACAATTTGTTTTGGATGGGTTGTGAAAGTGATCCAACTGCATTATAGTCCCTTTAATTAGATATAATTCTTCAAGAAGAGCCTTTTTCATATTTAATACAGAACTAGACACACAGCATCTTTTCAGTTGTACTAATAATGAAAAGCACAATAGAATTAGATAAACCTTGGGGCAGCACCTGTGGCTTAAAGGAGTAGGGCATATCGGAGGTGATGGGTTCAAACCCGACCCCGGCCAAAAACTGGAAAAAAAAAAAAAAACGAAATAGATAAACCTGGGTATTAGCAACCCGAAATTATTACTTAAGGGAGCTACCCTGCTACATCACTTTTCAAAGAATGTTCTTGGCATAATAACACTATTAAAGTAATAGATGTTTATAAGTAAGTTATACTGACCAAAGAAAATAACTTCCATTCATGTATCTCTGTTTGCCAACTCAACAGTGGCTAACTGGTAATTTTTTAACTTTTAAAAAATATGCTGAGTGTTCATGTTGAGGCAAGCAATACAAACTTAACTGCCTGATTCAGACACTACCCCCCCATTGCAAAAGATGATAAGGACCATTTAAAAATATTCTTTAAAATTTTACCAACCAAAGGCATAGATTATGTGCTATACTGTTACCAATGTATTTAAACCAAAAAGATTTAAATGATGGGATTTGGTTTTGCAGTAGAATCTGTCACAGTGCTCATGCAGGGCGGGGTTATCTGTGTGTATTCCATCAGCAGCAGTACCTGCATCGGCCCAGCACAGCAGTTTGGAGAAGGGGTCAAAGGTCAAGCCATTGGGTAATCCAATGTCTTTATTGATGAGAATTCTTCTGTTTTCTCCATCTAAAGAAGATGTTTCAATTTTAGGAGCTTCTCTATTCCAGTCTGTCCAGTACAAGTTGCTGTAGATAAATTAAAAAGATTATGAAAGGATAGCCATGCAGCCTGTGGCAGCCCGTTCCCTGGGATTCACAGCCTTAAGCAATCCCTTGGACTTTGGCCTGGATTTAGGTCTTGCTTTTAGAGAGCAGAGTACACAGAAGCAATGGGATGCCACTTCCAATATGAGGTTAAAAGAACTGGCTTCTGTCTTGAGTGCCCTCTCTTGGTTCCTCTGAGGGAGGGTAGATGCCATGTCGCCAGCTACCAGAAAAAGGGGAGCAGGTGGCAAGGAACTGGTGTCTCTGACTGGCAGCCCGTGGAGCATGTTTGGAAGTGGGTCTTACCCCCGCTGAGCCTTGACCACTACAGGTGCGCCAACAGTCAACTGCAGCCCTGGGAGAGGCTCTCAGAGGCACTCAGCTAACGCGCACCCAGATTCCTAACTCACAGAAACTTGGGAGACGATACATGTTTGGGCGCACTTTGTTACACAGCAATAAATAACATACAGGACCATATTTCACTCTTAACCTGTATCACAAGGTTTTTGACAATTGTAACTGTGGCAGATGTCATTATTGTCCAAGTCTCTCAGATACCCCTGACTCAGTTGCCCAGAAACTCTTGATTTGGGGCAATCTGGAACTGGATCTTGGGCTTAGAATGCAAAGAAATGCAGTTATTAGGAATAGCTTAGCTATAGAAACTACAGAACCTGTTAAGACTTGTTCAAGCAGGGATCTGGGAGGGAAATAGTTCTCCTTAACTACCTTCTTTCAGGGAAAATAATGTTTGGCACTTAACGAAAGGGAATCTCAGCTGTGCTATACCCGGCATCCAAGGGTGGAAACAATTCAAATGAGTTAGCTTGTAAATGCCTTATTAAAGATAAAAAAATACTTATTGAAAAGATAACCAGAAGTGATTACACAGATAATACTGTGTAATATGGTCCTGATAATTGGAAACGGATTACATGTAAAGAAGCAGGTTTGTGGCTACAGCAGTGGTAATGGTGACCAGAATCTATAGGAGCACTGGCTAAATCAACTGAGCCACCGAGACCTCAGTGAGAGTAGGGAGAGGAAGCGATCACAGGTTTCTCCTGCTGTGAACTGCATTCCTTATGCCCAACTGGGGAGGGAGAGGAAAGCTGAGAACAAAAGCCCCAAAGCCCTTTCCACTCAGTTGAGGTGCAGTTGGCCGGAGTAGAGTGCCCATCACTGCTTTATCATCTGTGATCTGGCTCCGTCCCTAAAGTGACTCAAGGTCACTGAAAACAAGCTCACAAGTCCCAAACGAGTTCACACACACACACAAATTATTTGTGGATTGCTTAAGGAAGAGAGTGGTAAGGGTAAAATCTGAGAATGTGAATGAGAAATACCCAGGAAGGCTTAACAACTATTCCACTGAGCAGTTGTGGAAGATTAAAGGTGCTACCTTCCAACTTGGCTTTAATTGCCTTAAAAGTTATTTCTGAAGTCTGTTAGCCTTTGTTATTTGCTGTCGTGATGAGAAACAAAACTCTCCTTTTTTTGGTCTTTGAACTCATGGCTGTGAAATGGCTTTCAGCTTCAAAGTATGCCTTTCCCCAAGCCACGGAGACCTGCCCAGGCGCCATTGCTCACAGGTGCCCCTCGTTTTAGGCCAAGCATCAAGGAGGAAAAATGGGCCTCCCAAATGTCAGGAGCACACACCTCTGCAAGAAGAGGTTGTGAAGAGGGCTAGTAATTCCTGTGGCTAAGTCAGCTGGGCTAGACAGACATCGTCCCCAAAGTGTAGGCCCCACAGCTCAGAAGTACTTGGGGCTTTGCACTAAGTATTCCTCAGTCAAAAGCTATTTTGCTGAAAATTAAGGCTGAACGCTTTCTCCACTGATTGGAAGGGCTTCTCTGGAATTTCATTTGGTAGATGTTCCTCTTAAATACAGCAAGAGTTTCTCAAGTTATAAAAATGCTCCCTGGTTCTAACAAGTACTGAAACTGACCGAGTCCTGTATGTCCCAGTTGGTGACCTTAGCAACTACCTGTCACAGGGGAAATTTTTATATAGACTTTTGCTCCAATAACAATGAGGCCAGAAAAATAAAACACTCAGTGTGTGAGCATTGGTTACTCCTGCCTTTTAAGCGAGGTAGGCCCCTGTGGCTTTCCACTGGCTGAGTGTGCTGCTGAAGGAGGCCCACCCCACGGCCAGCTCACCTGCCGCCTCCTCAGGCCCTGCCTGACACTGGGTCCACAGCAGCCCTGGTCCCTCTCTCAACTGTGAGTTCCACATGTATCACATGACACACTAGTACT